GAGAGAGGAGAGAGAGAGAGAGGAGAGAGAGAGAGAGAGAGAGAGGGGGGGGTGGCGGGGGGGGGAAGGGAGGGAGAGAGCGAGGGAGGAGCGAGCGAGAGAAAAGCCGGGAGCGAGCGAGAGAGAAGAGAGAGAAGAGAGAGAGAGGGAGAGAGAGAGAGAGAGAAGAGACGAGGAGAGAGAGAGAGAGAGAGAGGAGAGGAGGAGAGAAGAGAGAAGAGAGAAGAGAGAGGAGAGAGAGAGAGAGAGAGAGAGAGAAGAGAAGGAGAAGAGAGGAAAGGAGGGACGACAGAGAATTAGAGAGAAAAAGACAGAAGAGACAAGAGAAAGAAGAAAGATGGAAAGCATAGAGTAAGAGGCAGGAAAAGAAGAGGAGGTTAGGAGAGCACGAGAGCAGAGAGCAGAGAGAGAAGGAGTGGGAGAAGAGAGAGAGAGTAGAGAGCGGAGATGCAGAAGAGAGAGAGAGGAAGAGGGAGAGAGAGGAGTGACGAGAGAGCAGAACGAGAGGGAAGGGAGGGAGGGAAGACGGAGCAAGTGGAGAAGAGAGCAGAGAGAGAGGAGAAGGAGAAGAGAGAGAGAGAGAAGAGGAGCAGAGAGAGAGAGAAGGAGAGAGAGAGAGAGAGAGAAAGAGAGAGAGAGAGAGAAAGAGAGGAGAGAGAGAGAGAGAAAGAGGATAGAAGAGAAGAGACAGAAAAGAGAGGAGAGAGAGAGTAGAGAGGAGAGAGAGAATAGGAGAGAGAGCGCAGAGAGAAAGGAGAAATGAGAAAGAGGAAAAGAGAAAGAGAGAGAGAAAAAGCAGAAGAAAGAAGTAAGGAGAGAGAGAGGAGAAGGAGCGCAGAGAGATGAGAGAAGAGTGAGAGAGAGAGAGAGAAGAGAGAGAGAGAGAGAGAGGGAGAAGAGAAGAGAGAGAGGAAGGAGAGGGTAAGGGAGGGAGGGAAAGACGGAGAAGTGGAGAGAGTGAGAGAGGAGAGAAGAGAGAGGAGTGAGAACTGGAGAGAGAGAGGAGAGAGAGGGGACGCGAGAGGAGACGAGAGGGGAGAGAGAGCGATGAGATGGACGAGGGGAGGAGAGGGTGGAGAGGAAAGGAGTAGTGGAGGAGGGTGAGGAGGGAGGGAAGACGGAGAAAGTGAGAGAGCAGGAGTAGAGGGAGGGGAGAGGAGAGAGGTAGGAGAGAGGAAGAGAGGAGGGGAAGAGAGAGAGAGAGGAGAGAGAGGAGAGAGAGCAGAGAGAGGAAAACGAGAAACGAGGCGAGAGAGGAGAAGAGAAAGATGAGAGAGAGAGAAGAGAGAAGAGAGGAGTAGAGAGGAGAGAGGAGAGAGGAGTGGAGAGGAGGAGGAGGAAGGGAGAGAAGAGAGAGAGAGAGTAAGTAAGCGGAGAGAGAGGAGAGAGCAGATGATGCGGAGTCGAAGACGGAGCGCGGTGGATAGCGGTGGGTGGGAAGGGAGGTAGAGAAGAAGAGAGAATAGGGGGAGGAGAGCAGAGAGAGAGATGGAGAGGAGAGAGAGAGGGAGGGAAGAGGAGTAGGAGAGGAGGAGAGAAGAGAGGGCGCAGGAGAGAGAGCGCAGAGAGAGTAGGGGAGGGAGGGAGGGAGGGAGGGAGGAGAGGGAGGAGGGAGGGAGAACGAGGAGAGGAAGGGGTGGAGAGAGAGAGAGAGTAGAGAGAGAGAGAGAGGAGTAGAGAGAGAGAGAGAGTGAGAGAGAGAGACTAGAGACGAGAGAGAGGAGAGGAGTAGAGGAGAGAGAGAGAGTAGAGAGAGAAGGGGAGTTAGGAGAAGAAGAAGGGATGAGAGAGAGAGAGATAGGAGAGACACACCAAGAGAGAGAGGAGAAGGTAAGAAGAGATCCAACCGTTGGTTACGAATTTGTTAGTAACGACAGAGAGTAGAAGGCTGAGAGAGGAGAAGTATCCTCCTAACAGAGAGAAGAGAGAGAAGGTCGAGGGAGAATGAGAGAGGAGGAGAGAGAAGAGAGGCACGAGAGGAGAGATGAGGAGAGAGACTAAGAGAGGAGCAGAGGAAGCGGATGAGACAATAGGGGAGAGAGAGAGGAAGAAGAGAAGATAGAAGAAAGGAGGGCGAAAGGAGAGAGAGAGAGAGAGAAGGAGAAAACTGAGACAGAGTAGAGAGAGAAGGAGAGAGGAGAGAGGGAGAGAGAAGAAGGAGAGAAGAGAGGGAGAGAGAAAGGAGAAGAGAAGAGAGAGGAGAAGGAAAGAGGAGAGAAGAGAAAGGAGAGAGCGAGCAAAGAGGAGAGAAGAGGAAAAGGCGAGGAATGTGCAGAGAGAGAGAGAGAGAGGAGAGGATCTAGAGAAGGGTGGGGAGAGGAGACAGGGGGAGAGGGGAAGGAGAGGGGAGAGGGCGAGAAAATGCGGTGGGAACGAAGGGAGAGAGTGTGAAGGACGAGGGTAGGTAAGAAAAAACAGAGTGGATTGGGAGAGGCGAAAAAGAGGGGTAGCAGGAGTAGAAGAGAACGGATGAGAGAAGGACTGAAGAGAAGATGATCAG